TAGGGTTTTGTTTCAGAAGACAAAGGGACCTGTGCCTGGGTTCCCAGTGGGAAAGATGCTGTGCAGATGAATGGGGGGAGCTGCTGGCCCAGGCAAGAGCTGACTGTGCCTCACCCCCCTTTAATGTACGGCATCCAATCTGTCTCCATGGGAACTATAATAAGGGCAGAACTTGTCTGTGCCATCTCAAACCAAAGGCGGGGTGGGGGAAGTCAAAGCAAACAACAAGCCTTGCAGCAACGAGATTCTGAGCAGACGGATGAGTGGGTGCCCTGCCCTCACCCCACGCTGGCCCTGGGCTGGGACAGAGCCCTGACCCTGCTGCTCTGCTGCCCCCAGCAGCAGCCCTGTGCCTGTGCTGTAAGTTGAGTCACAGCCACTGCTGAACTGAGCCACCGACACGGCTTTGGCTCCACAGCGTGTGGTGGAACTCGGCTCTTACCCAGCCAGGATCAGAAGGCAGGAACCACGTTAGGGAGGGAGGCAGTGGGAGCGTGGGGTGCAACGGGAATGGGTGCTTGTGTGAGGGGGACCATGCAGGCCTGATTGTCAGAGGTGTTGAGCCTACGCAAACTCACTGACTTTAAACAATACTGTGGGGGTGAGAACCTTTACAGATGGGAGGGATGAGGGCAAGGTGGAGTAGGTGGGGATGAGATACACTGAAGGCTCTGAGCGGCTGCCTCAGCTCTGTGAAATACGGATCCACCCACCGTGGGAGCAAAGGGGAGAACCCAGAGGAAAATGATCTCCCTGCTCAACTTTGTGCAACAGGTGCAGACTCAACCCCTGCTGCATTAGACAATACCAAGTCATGGCTCTGTAAAACCCATCTGTGAATAAGCAAACTCTCCTGTCTGCACCAGGACATGGGAAAAACACCTCAGCATCCCCTGTGCATGGTGAGAGGGGAGAAAGCAGCTTTTCACCCTTACCTCCCCATTCAAGTCCAGTGACAGGAGTCAGCTGAGCTTTTGCTGCACCATGACACTACTATGCCCTGTGCTCAGGGATGACTCTCATCCTGGAGAGTAACTGCCACCACACCACCCATCTCCACCAGCACATGAACCCACTGGGCAAATGCACCTCCAGCTATTTTCTCTAATTGTTTCCCTAATCACATAAAATTGCCAAAGTTCCATTTGCCTTCTTACAGAGTAATTTGTTTTCCCATGTGCACTGCTGGCTCTGTCTCTCCCTGCAACCCCTGTGTCTGCAGCCACTCGAACGCATCAGAGTTGAGGGGGGAGCCCGAATTAGATTATTTGTTCTAATAAATGGAATTACACAACAAGACCAGATTAAAGTCAGTTGCTTTGAAAATACTGGGTTTGGTTTCATGTTAGCCAAGAGAACAAGCATCTGGCTCATCCCTCTCCCATCTCCTGACCTCATCATCAAGGCTCCAGTGGGAGGCAACCCACACTTTGCCCCAGCTGAGGCAAAGGTTAGATCATGCTGACAACCACCAGCTCCTTCAGAATAAAGGCAGCCTACCAAAAAAATGCAGCAGGGAATCCCAGGAAACAGAAGTGCAAGGAGGTTAAATGCAAAAGCCACGAAGCACTGTCCCCCTCTTGCCCATAAACTGCACCACAATGAGGTTCTTCACAACTTAAATGCCACCTGCCCAGACAAATACCTGCAGCCACACGTGCCCATGCATGCAGCTGGCCCTAAGCTAAATGTGCATTTCACCTTTCCTATGGCTTTATTCCCACACACACACAGCAGGCAGGAGCAGAAAATATGCTGGCATTCAGTCCTCTGGAGACCTGAAGGAACTGCCCTGCTTTCCCATCCTAGAGCTCATTCATTCATGGCAAGAAATGATGCAACACTTCTTTTTTCCCTGCATCAGCAGAGGAATGAGATGTTACAACAGCTGACAGCAAGTGCAGATCACAAGTTCAGGCCTGAAGTAGTCTTCCCATGAGGGAAGCTTTTCTTTAACCCTCAGGAGCTTAGTGATCATCATGCCCTGACACAGGAGCTCTATTGACTTGGCACACCGTCACCCCAGATGTTCAGCCACAGAGTTCTCACATTTACACCAACACACACTGCAGTCATAGAATCAAAGAATCACAGAATCATTTAGGTTGGGAAAGGTCTCCCAGATAATGGAGTCCCCACCTTGTCAACCAGACCAGAGCACTGAGTGCCACATCCAGGCGTTCCTTGAACACCTCCAGGGATGGGGACTCCACCACCTTCCTGGGCAGCCCCTTCCAGTACTTGACAAGCTTTTCTGTGAAGGAATTCCTCCTGATGTCCAACTTGAACCTCCTCTGACACAACTTGAGCCCTTGTGCTAAATCCCCAGGCAGCTGAAACCAGTGTGGCTCCTCAGTGAAATGACTCGGATTACTTTTACTTGTGCCTCTGTGAACCAAACCAAGCACAGGGCAACCCAAAATCCTACTCTGCTTCTCTACTCCTGCATGCCAGCAAGTGTTGGAAGGAAAGCACTTTCCTGCTTTTTCCTCAAATGACAGCTGTGGTTTCAAACACAAACTCACAAGGAATATCTCCATACTGTGTAGTGTGACAGTTGGATGTGCAAGGCAATATGTTGCCTCCTCAAACCTTCCTGGCACACATTCCATGCCCTTCATTTGCAGCTTCTACAATGTGGGAGACAGCAGAAAGCATGGTCAGTCCTCACAAAGGACACTGTGCTCCTCACCTTGTCCTCCACATCCCCCCAGGCACTGTCCTGCTGTCTCCAGGAGCAGAGGAGTGTGGAAAGCAGGACAGACCTGAGGTGTCCTCATAGAAGAGATGGGGAATTCCCATCTCCTCCTCTTCAGCCCCGCTCATAACACAGCCTCCTGCCCCCTCTGTCCCTTGCCAAGCTGTATCTCCCCTGCATTCACCTGGCAACCCCTTCCACCAGGTCTGGACAGTTGTCACCCAAAGGGCTTAGACTCATGCTGGCAAGCACTTGTTCTTTGTCCTGCCTATCTCCAGATTTCCTGGAGATAGGAAATACCTGGAAAAGGGGAGCAAATGGAGAAAACTCAAGACATGCCAGCTGGCTCCAGAGGACTGGGAGGAGGAGGTGGGGGAGAACCACTGATGGTACTCGCAGGAACACAGTTGGCGCAGAGGAGCTGCGTGTACGATTTGGAGACTTCCTAGAAGGCTTTAATGAGCCAAGAAGCACAGTCAGAGCACTTGCTCCTCTCACTTTTAAATCAGTGTTTACGAAGTCCCGGGGAAACTAAAGTATTTATGTCTATCTCCAGTCAGAGCCTGTTTAAGGAAATAAGTTAAACATACCTTAGTGTATAAGTACTTGGTGTTTAAGCAAGCACAGAGGTTGACTCATGTGTTTGTTTTTCAACGGCATTATTGGACAGTGCTGACAGTGCCAAGGTCAGGCTGGGAGAGGAAGGAAGCAGCAGTGAAGATCTCTTCAGAGGAGAGGAATGCTGCTGCTGCTCCTTACCCATCACAGCAGTCCCCTTTCCTGGTGGGAATGACACAGGGAGCTGGGTCCCTGGGTCCCCACTGCCTGGGAGCAGGGGTGGATGAACTTACGGCTCCTGCACTACTGCTCTTCCCCCAAAGAGTGGTACTGCACAGACTGCTACACAGCCCAAGCTATCTTCCCCAGAGACTGACCTTAGCCAGGCTATCCATCATCCACTGCTAAAACGACAAAATCCAAGTCATCTCCTAAAAAACTTCACCTTGCCTTTGCCAAGTGAAAACAGTCAACTGCAGTAACAGGGGTCAGAGAAAATCATTCTCCTTCAAGAAACACAGGGAAATATTCCCATTAAAAGGATTGAATTTTTAAGAAGAAATGAAGTCATGATGACATCACACACATCAAAGCACAGTCCCAGCCAACTACCACCACTGTCTGGGAGTTTAAACCTGGCAAAGCAGGACCCAACTCCTTCCTTGCCTCCCTGAAGCAGCAGAAACTTGCAGCTGTGTAATGGTTTAATTACTCACCCTCCTATCAAGTTTCCAAGAGTGAAGTTTGTTTTGGAGCAAGGAAAGATGCCTCGGGGGTTTGAGGGAGTGACACTACTTTCTCACTCACAGACACAGCTCTGTCCCTCCTGGCGTCGGATCCACAAACTGGTTCCACTCCCAGCATCTGAATCAAAGCACATAGACATGAGCTGGACCCCTGCAAACTTCCCTCAGCTTTGGAGTAAGTCTCAGCAAGGTTCAGCAGCAACAAAATGCTTGAACTCACCGAGCTTAGAACGGATACAGAGCTTGGAGAGCTTGGATATGACCGGAAGGCTTTGCACTATGAACCCTGGGACACAACTGTCAGAGCACAGAGCTGCCTGAATCCCCATAGCTCCAGTCCTGGAAAACACCTTCCTTCATGATAGAATCATAGAATTGCTAAGGTTGGAAAAGACCTCTAAGATCATCGAGTCCAACCATTCCCCCACCACTGCCAAGGCCACCAATAACCACCTCCCCAAGTGCCACACCTACGCTGTTTTTTGAACACTTCCAGGGACAGCCATTCATCCTCACTTAAGCAAAGTTTCCTACTCCTGCAGAGCCCGACGAGCCTCTCCACCCGGAGATATTCCCCGTGCGACCGGGCTGTTGCTCTCTCCCGGCTGCAGTCACGTTTCTCGCCTTCCTGCGGGTCAGCACTGACCATTCCAGCACTTTGCCGAGTCGCTCAGCCCAGCAGCACCGGAGCCGACGGTCGCAGGTGCTGCTCGCTCACACCCGCAACAAAACCTCTCCTCGTGTCTGTACATCACACCCGCATCCACCTTCCCTCCGGCTGCCTCCAAGGGCACCCACAGGCTCCGGCTCCGCCGCACGCCCGCACCCGCGGGACGCAGGACACTACACCCGCACCCCCCGCGCAGCCCCGGGGCGATGCCCATGGGCACACACGGACGGCGAACCCGCCCCGGAGCGGAGCCCGGTCCAATCTGTCACCGATCTCAGCGGAGCCCCCGCTCTGCCCCTTCTCACCGCCTGCTCCCGCTCCTCCTTACCGTGGCCGGGCCAGAGCCCCGCGGCGCCCGACGCGGTTCCCCCGGCGCGGCTCCTCATCGCGGCGGCGGGGCAGGGCGTGGGCTCCGCGCTGTCCGCCCGTGGGGCTGCGCCGGGTCCTGCCCGGCTGCGGGGCTGTGATGGTTCTTGCCCGGCTGCGGAGCCGAGGTGAATCCTGCCCGGCTGCGGGGCTGTAGCGGTTCCCTGCCCAGGTGCGGGGCTCAGGTGAGTCCTGCCAAGGTGCGGGGCTCTGACGGTTCCTTGCCCAGGTGCGGGGCTCCGCTCCCGCCCCGGCGCTCCGCGGGCAGCGCCCGCCCCCGGCCCGCCCCGCGCCGAGAGAGGGGGATGCCCGGCCCCCTCCCCGCCCCACCGGGGGAAAGTCGGGTCCGTCCCCCCGGCGGCCGAATTCCTTCTGTCTCCCCCCGCCCGTGTCCCCCGGGTTTCATATGAGCGCTGCGGGTAGGGCACATCTCCCTTCACCCCGGCAAATACTGATGGTTTGCTCTCCCGCTTCCAAAGCAACTTCATGGATCTGTGGTTTTGCTCGTGTGCAGAAGGGAAGTGGAGCAAGCCCATCTTATTATCAACTTGTTTGATAGGTCCAATTTTTAAAGACCTGAGGGTTTTTTGGCAAACTTCTTTCAATGTGTTTCTCAAAAAAAAAACAAACATTGGCAGTATTTACAAACATACTGCAAGTGCTTTTTCACTTGCGGTTTCAGCCCAGCCCCTTTGACATTATTAGAGCTTTGGCAGCTGAAATCTGGCCCTGACACCTCGAACAAATCTCAGTCTTGGCAGAGGAGGACACTGCAACCTGCTCATTATCTAGATTTTATAAATACCCATTGCAATATTAGACTGAGCATAAATGCAGGATCTGAGCAGCTCCATCTCCAGGTGGGCTCACCTTTCACTATTAGAGCTGCATTTTGAGGGGCTGGGGTTTCAAGCTCCAGTGCCTTTGTGCCGTTTTTCCTTTGGGAAGTACCTGTGAAAGTCTCACATAAATATGATGTGTGGTACTCACAGCTGCAGGGAGGGTTTCTGATCAGTCCTGCTTTTGGAAATCCAGGGATATTTTTCCAACCCTCAACATCAGCTCCAGGGTCTTGCTAGATTCCCTCGATCACCAGTACCTCCAGGTCTGTGTAAGACTTGGGTCCTCCCTCCCTCTCTTTCGCTCTTTGGACTCCATGCTGTGCCCAAATCCACTGCAGGGATGGGTAACTCACAAACAAACCCAACTCACAGGGCAAAGCTCTTCAGCTTGGTCTCTCCATACTGATGTCGCTTCTGGCTGCAAATGTGGGCAGATTGGAATCCAAGAGGCTGAGTGTGTTGAGTACATTCTATAGCATGGATTCAGACAGATTTCTGCACTCATACAACACCTCTGGGGCTTTGGGGGTCACTCTGAGGGATGTCACTGGGAGATCTTCAGGCTGGGATTTGTCAGACCAGAACTGCACTGGAACAGGGTCATCCAGAGCACACACGAGAGAAGTAGTTTGGTTTGCAGCTGTTCCTTCCATCCCCTTTAACCACAGCCAACGTCCTTGCACCTGGAAAAGGGAGGTCTCCAATGGTGTGTATGTGGAGGAGAAATGAGAGCACCCACAGAACTGCAATGTAGGTTGCATGCTGTCAAAATATGTCAAGTTTATCAAGTTTCAATAAAAGAAAAGTATATTAAACAGATCTTATTATCAACTTGTTTGATAGGACCTCATCTGAGGGGTTTGGGCAAAGATTTTTCGGCGGATTTATCAAAAAATTGGTAGCATTTTCAGCCATTGCAGGCAAACACACCCTCCTAGGCTGCCAGGCCTTGTGTTTGCTCATGTGTTTGTCCATCACTATAGTAACTGAAAGGCAGAGAAAGAATAACATTAAGAAAAGTAAAACATATCAAATCCATGAAGAAACACCTTGCCACAGTTTGGAATTTCTCAGACTTGCACAACAGAGGACAAAGGGGATGAAGCTGGTCTGGGTAGAACTGAGATGGGTCATTTTAAAACTGGCAGTTAAAGGATCCCTGAAACAGTTGTGTTTTGCCTTCATTTCCTCCTCCATAATACTGTGAGCTTTCTGGACATTATTGGCATCTACTACTTGTAGACAAGTATCTACTCATTAGTATACCCTCTAGCTTTAATGCTGAATTTATATATAGGTGGCTTGATGTCTCTTCATGGAGCAAGCAGTTGTAGCTCTTTCTGACAAGATTCGGAGAGTGGAGCCCTAAGCCAAGCACATCCTGCAGTTTGCATGAGCGGGTGAACTGAAGTCAAACAGGTTTATGTGTTTTCCTGTCAGGTTTTTAAATGCTTCACTGGACTGGGGACCAGCAACACTGTGGGTCAGGATTAAAGCTGCTCACCTGCATCCATCAAGTTTGAGAGTGATGGAAAAGAGAACTGAACATCCCCTTCTTGCTGGCACTGCAGTGACCTCCTGGCCCTGCTTTGCTGAGCTCACAGCAGTCTTGGAGACATGCACTTTGCAATCTGAATGCCAGGAGGCAGATTCCAAACTTGCAGTTGGAGGAGGGTTTTGACATCTTAGACAGTCACCTGCCCAGCCCCAGGGGTAAACCACACTGTGCTGGCAGGGGTCTGGCAATGTCCTGCTGGAGGACAGGGCAGCAATCCCAGCCTGTGCCCACCCATTGCACCAGCACCAGGTGCCACCCAGTTCCTCCCCTCCTGACCCTTTGAGGTGTCCGTATTGTCAATATTTCACACCACAAGATGTAAACAGAGCCATGTCTCCATCCAGGCAAAACCTAGAGCAGCAGAGTGATTTTGCTGCCTGCAGTGTGGTCTGGGTGGATCAAGAGCCAAGATAGAAGCTGGAACAAAAGGGAGCCCCTTGCATAAAGATCCCCAAGACTGGGCAGTGCCTGAGCACAGCAAAGTTGCCTGGCACTGCACCTCTGCAGTCCTGGCCTCAGCATCCAGGCACTCTCTTTGATTTAAGAGGTGCAAACCATGAAGTAGGGAAGGGGATTTTGGAGCATGGAGGAGGCAGAGTTCCAGGCCCTTCCACTGCTGGGTGTTCTGAACCCGAGAACAGGCCATGCTGAACCCCAATGTTGTCATCACTTTTGGTCGTGTTCCATCCCCACTCCCTTTAATGCAGATTCCACTCCAGGATTATCAAAGGTTTATTCAACCTGAATGGGATGCTAAAAAAAATATAATTTAATTTTTAAAAAGGAAAATTAGAAAGTATTAGGGAGATAAAGCACTGGGGGTTTTCTTCTCTTCCCCCCCCCCCCTTCCTTTTTTTCCATCTGTAACAATGATAAATCCAAAGATCTAGTTGAGAAAAAAAGTGATTCATCAGGACTGAATCACAGTCACTCTGCAGTGGAATTTGCTGCTTTCACTTCTGCGGGTGTAACTCCGTTGCTGCTTTAGATCACTGGCTGCACTTTCAGGCGCTGAGAGGGAGATAAAACCAACTTAGCAGAGAAGCTTTTTGGTGTGCACGGTGTGTTCCCTTTGAACACGGCATGGTCTCCTTTGCCCAGCTGCGTGGGATGGATTTTATTAAGAAGAGAGCTAGAATAAATTAAGTTTCGTAGGGTTATACCCACCATTGGATCACGCAGCCCTCCCACTCCGTGGGGAAAGAACTTCTTTCTTTCCATCGCATTTTAAATGTGAGCTTACCCACTCTCACTCGGAGGCTGCCCCTGAAACAGGCGCTCTGCCTGGGCCATGGCACCAACTGATACCCAGAGCTAAACTGGATGCAGCACTGAACATCTGGGATTTCCCAGTGGCTTGGATGCCAGTCCATTTTGCAAGGGAAACTGCTGTGAAGAGGTGAGGCAGGAGGAAAATTCTGGTCTGTACCTGCTTTACAGCATCAGTTGATGCTCGTCCCTACATCGAGTTATGTCCTTCTGTTGTCACCGGCTCCTTTCTCCACATTACTCATTATTCAGCCAAGGGAGCGCCCTGGATGCCACAGCACTGCCATGAATCCAGGTTCCCAGACTCCTGGTAAAAGTGCTCAGCTGAGCAAAGGTGAGAGGCAGGTCAAATCTGAAGCAATGAAAAGAGGGTCACGTTGATAATACTGAAACAGACAAGCCTTTAAATAATCAAACTCCAACCCCTATGGTATGAAATATCACTATTTGCAGAGCCCTTTGATCTATTCAACTGATGTTATTTATAACGCTACCTGGATACATGAATCTAAAATCTACTTTAAGGCAGGTCTGACTTTTAGCTTTAAAGGAGAATATTTGCATTCATTTTTAACAGTGTAACTCTCACTGTTTATAATGCTGACATAGTTCAGGTTTCATCTGAGGGTCACAAAATTATTTTGCAGGCATTGAAACACCCTCTCAGAGTGAATCTTTGAGATATTTATTACCTCGGGACCAAAGATGAAGCCAACGAAAGGGACAACCATATCAGCACAGCTGGAGAGTTAGAGCTGGAGGCAAATTACACATTTACAGTCCATGAGCTGGAAACTACTAAACAATCCATCAGAAATTTAAGGATGACACTCCTCCTGGGAGAGACCATTTCAGTCCTCTCTCTGTAGGCCACAGAACTGTGACAGAAGAATAGCATGATTTTCTTTTAACTGTTTTTTAAAAGTCCTGTTTCTAATGAAAATTTCCCTCTTGGTTCTTTTCTCCTGCAAAGGAGTTTTAGAAGAAAAAGACCTGCCTAGTGAGTAGAAATCCACCTCCTGCCTCCTGCCATGTCCCCATTGCTGAGAGGGGCCAGCAGGGGTTTGTCTTTCTGCACTGCAGGAGACATTTGCTGCTGCTGCCAGGAGGCTGGGACCACACCACTGAAACCAGGGACAAGATTCCACTAAAAACTGGCAAAAGGGAGGGAAGCCTCAGTGCAGGGCTGGGCACATCGGTGTCACCTCTCCCGCAGGCAGCAAGGAGCACATCGGACATCGGGACAGGCTGGCTTTGGAACCCTTCTCCCTATCAGTGTTCCTTGCCAGGAGGGAGGGCAACACAGGCCCCTTCGCTTCCTCACCCCTACAGAGCACATGGATGAATTGCTGGGATATGGAGCCCTCGCTGGGCTTCCTCATTTATATGCATATGAGCCTGCATGTAATTCCATGAGTTCTGCATCTCCGCGTGAATAAGGATAAATATATGCAACTCTGAATAAGAAAGCTGAGTGAATCATTCATCATGG